ATATTTGGGAGCAGGGGGATTAAAACCGAAATCCAAACTCATAGAAAAAGAAATAAGACCCGTGGTTATCAGAGGCAAAGGACAGAGAGGGTGAATTAGAGGAAGGTGGTTCTAAGGTACAAACTTCTAGCCAAAGGCCTGGAGACCTTCCTGCATTGACCCAACCCAGTGCAAAGTCCCTGGTTAGGAAAGAAAAGAAAGTCAACAGTCCCGGAGACAATTTCACTTCCTCCTCCAGAAAACCTCAGCTGGAACTCAAACAAATCAAGTTCACAAAAGATTACGGGTGCATACCAGGCACTCGATATATACTTGGCTGATTCATTCCAGCAAAAGCAAACAACGCAATGATGTCTCAAAACCCTTCTTTGCTTCATAACCTTCTCTTCTCCTTAGGAAAGGAACTGTCTGGGTGCCCTCAGAGGTGAGTGGCCAGCGGATCATACGCACCTGAGACAGAGAGAAATTTCTGTTCTTGATCAATGTTCCTCAAACAAAAGTTACGTAGCGTGGCCCATGGAAAGAGGAACCAGAAGGAGCCGCAGCCACCTATACATCAACACGGCGACCTTCATGTCTGCTGTCTGCTGAATGTTACATGTCCGAAGATCTACAGCACAGTGTCGTGCCCACCTGAGGTCAGGGGAGCGTGACCTGCAGGCCACAGGAGGGAGGCAAAATTCACAGGGAAGAAGGAAACCTCCCCGTGAATGCCAGCTACATCAGGCCGAGCTTCCCTTGGAACAGTGACCTTGAATAAAAAATAAATTTTGGCCCTGACCAGTTTGTCTCAGTGGCTAGAGCGTCGGCCTGTGGACTGAAGAGTCCCAGGTTCGATTCCGGTCAAGGACATATACCTTGGTTGTGGGCACATCCCCAGTGGGAGATGTGCAGGAGGCAGCTGATCGATGTTTCCCTCTCATGGATGTTTCTAACTCTCTATCCCTCTCCCTTCCTCTCTGTAAAAAATCAATAAAATATATTTTTTAAAAAATAAATAAATAAATAAATTTTGGGCCGGCCTGTGTCGCTCAGTGGTTGAGCGTTGACCGACGAACCAAGAGGTCACGGGTTTGATTCCCGGCCAGGGCACATGCCTTCGATCGCCAGTAGGGGCCGATTGATGTTTCTCTCTCATCGATGTTTCTATCTCTCTATCTCTCCCCCTCCCTCTATCTCAAAAATCAATAAAAACATATTTAACAAATAAACGTTGACTATGTTGGATATATATTTCATAAATTAAGAAGCTACTGACATATTCAGAAACTGAGGGTGGTTTTTTTTTTTCCATTTTTTCCAAATGAGCTCTATGCTTAAACTAGAATTTTTTCTCATTTAGCTACTTTGAGAGTGGTTAAGATACGGAGTCAAACCAGTCAACCTAGGTGTGAGGCTCAGCACCCACCTTGCTGTGTGACTGAGCAGGAGCCTCAGTGTCCCCATATGTAGAATGGGGACAGCGAGACTATTAAAATCAAGGTCACTGTGAGGATTAAACGAGCGGCACGTACAGCATTAAAAACAGCGCCCTGCCACAGTAAGCACTAAACGTTGACTATTTTTACTTCCTGTTGGACCATCTAAACCTAACCGCCCCATCTCTATGAGCACATTGTGCTGTGGGTCATGTTCACCTTCTGTGTGTCTCAGACTCATCCGGAGCCAAAAAATCCACCTGACTGTGGAAGTGTTGACATTTTTCTAAAAAGGCCACTCTACCATGTGGTCAGGTGGACACCCGAAGCTTCTTGCCTCTCTCTTCTCCAGGTGAGGGCCAGATTTCAAAGGCAAAGCATCGTTTCTCCTCTCTAGGGGATGACAGGTGGGGAAGGGAGTTGAGTTTCCTCCCTGCTCTGATCTGTGCAGAAACAGCATAGGTGACTCGTTCATCAGTGGTCCGGACCTGGGGAAGCTCCGGGAGCCCCCTCATCCCCACTCACACCCACCACACAGAACCGCCGCCCCAATCAGTGCAGAAACATCTAAGTTGAAGGAAGGGTGCTGCTATCTTCTCACACACCTCACCAATGACTTAACACACCTGTGAGTCACAGGGCTGTGGGTCACGGCATCTCCTGGGTGACACACGCGTAAACAAACAAACCCCAGCCGCCACAGACAGAGCGTGGCTAGCCTGTGCCTTCCAGCGACCCTCGGCCAGGTTGGCAGGGCTCCCAGGCCACTCCTCAGGAGAAAGGTGTGAAGACGAAATGCCGAGGACCCCAAGGAAACCAGCTGCGTTGTGGGCAGGTACTGAGGCCGGAAGAAAGCCTGTGAATGCAGTGCTTCCCTGTCAGCCCAAGAAATACCAACATTTAACAACAGATGTATGGTCGAAGCAATGAGGAGCAAGGTGACAGATCGATGTATCAGCTTCTCCTTTAGCATGACGTGAAAATATCCGTGATTTCTATCGGCGGCAAAGTCACGGATTCTGCTAATACCCTGGTGCCGTTTACTACGTTCATAACGAAAGGAAACACTGCCTTTCAACTAGAAGCTAATGGAACTAAAGATGTGCCTTTTTCCTTTACAAGTTCGCAGAACCCCTCCTCTGTCTCTCTAGACCAGGGGTGGGCAAACTTTTTGACTCGAGGGCCACAATGGGTTCTTAAACTGGACCGGAGGGCCGGAACAAAAGCATGGATGGAGTGTTTGTGTGAACTAATATAAATTCAAAGTAAACATCATTACATAAAAGGGTACGGTCTTTTTTTTTTTTAGTTTTATTCATTTCAAACGGGCCGGATCCGGCCCGAGGGCCGTAGTTTGCCCACGGCTGCTCTAGATCCTCTGAGGGTCCCAGAACTTGCTTTGAAAGCCTTGCTCTCGGGAGCGCTATGGTTAAGTTAACACCTGATCACTCATGTAATCAGTATCTAGAAAATCCCTCCTTTGCTCTAAGCACGGGCACCACAGAGGAGAATGCAGGATGAAGGTGAGACGTGGATGCAACTGTCCTCCAAGAACTTTCAGAGTCTCTGCTCAGTGCTTATCCTGGTTCCCCCAGTTTTATTAGAATCTGTGTTGTCCCACTTCCAAATCTACCAAGATTTCTTTTATTGTTCTCTCTTAAAGATAGATAACTAAAAGCAAGACAAACCAACCGAAAATAAGCCGCAGGGTCTGGTCAAGTCTGCTGCTCACGGATTTTAGAAGCTGCATGGATAGACACCGCGAGTCCCCCACGCTTGCACCTCCCCTAGAATAAAACCAGCCCCGCCCAAACGGTCGACACTTTACAGGATGACATCAGGCAATTCGGGGGAAAGTTCTCCGGAAACAGCGAGATAGCGCGCACGACGGTGCTCCAATGATACCATGAACCCAACGACTGATCAGCACGTCTGAGGAGGGACTCAGGAGCCTCCTGTGGCAGACACAGCCATGAGGCTCCTGCCGAATCTCACGGTAGAGAAAGTAACACGCAGAAATCTCCAGAGAAATAATCCTGCTGTGAATTCTCCTGTGAGGCAGTGGGAAGGAAGCAAATCCGGAGCCTACCGTGGAGGTTGCTCTCGTCCCCCAGGTCCCTGTCAGCACAGACACTGGGAGTAACTTGCAAAGAGACGCCTGCATCTAGGAGACACACCAGAAGGCCCACCGCACCAACTTGCCAACTTGAACATGAGCACCAGCCCAGCGTGCTTCCCCGCTGCCTTGCTGTGGACTCATCTCATTTTATTCCCATTGAAACTGACGATCCACGGTGCCCACAGACTGACCGTGGGGCGTGTGTTGGTATGAAAACACGGGGCGGTTTAAGTAGAACTCCTTTCCTATTAACCTCTGATAGAGAGAATGTGAAAACGGCCCCGGGAGACACTAACGGAGAAACTGGTCGTTCTGACTTGATTATAAATGATTTCACGAATTCACGAAAACGGAAGACCCGTCCGCGGAGAAAACGACAGGAGACGTTACAGGTGCCGGGTAAGCCTGTTCTGAACCAAGTTATCTCCAAGTAGACGCAGGATCGCTGTGTTCCTTTTTGAAGGTGACGCAATGACACACGGGTAGGTAATGATGTCACTTTGAAAGGAGACTGGCCTGTGCTCGCCATGTCAGAGGGCTGCCGTGCCGCGACTCTCTCCAGAGTGACATGTTTCTACAAAGGCACCTCGTGAATGAACGTCGGAAAGAGCGCTGGTAGGCGTTTCTAAATCATCACGTTTTTTTCAAGCCTGCAAAGTCAGGCCCCACACCCTTGTTATCACAAACACACTGAAAACCCACCTAGTGTACTGCCCACCCTCCCAGGAGGGGCTCTGGGACCCCCGCAGGCCTGGCTCGCTGCCCCAGGGCCATTGTGGGTCTCTCCTGAAGGACGAGCTTTTGACACAGAAACCATCAGCCTTGGTCTTGCTATGTCATGTAAGTACGGAGTGGCCAAGATGTTCCCCATAGCTTGGGTTTAAATGCTGACACACTCCTTCCCAGTAAGAACTCGCGGGGTACTTTGGGTTTGGAGGGATAAGGGAGCATTTTCAGATTCTTCTGTACAGTTAAGAGAAAGTCGGTTCAAATGGAAATTTGGCCCTGGCCGGTTTGGCTTAGTGGATAGAGCATGGGCCCACAGACTGAAGGGTCCTGGGTTCGATTCCGGTCAAGGGCACGTACCTCGGTCACAGACTCATTCCCTGGCCCATGTCAGGGTACATGCGGGAGGCAACCAGTTGATGTGTCTCTCTCACATCCATGTTTTTCTCTCTGTCTCTCCCCCTCCCTACCACTCTCTCTGAAAATCAATGGAAAAATATCCTTGGGTGAGGAGTAACTAAAAAAAAAAAGGAAATTGGTACTTGTTCCCCACGACTCTAAAATTTCTCATCAGAACACTCAAACTCCAGGCCTTTTAAGGGGCTAAACCTTACAGCCATGCTTCCTGAACACCTTTCCTGGCCGGCCGGCACGGGCCTTGTAACCAGGACGACCTCAGGTAAGGCTGGCTAACGAAGAACTGGTCGCCATGGTGCCCCGCGAGCGGGTCGACTTACGGAAGTACTTCAGCGTCTCTTCAATTTGCTCGGTGGTGAGGTCAATGTTGGCATCTGGAGAGAGGAGGGGGGTGTGGAGCCAGTCGTCGTGGTCATAGCCGTAGATGGTGTCAGCTCTCAGCTTGTAATGGGGCAGCTGCTCCTCCAGCAGGCTGATGATCTCGACTTCCGGAAGGTCGGTGCTGTTGCACACGTCTGGAGGGAAGACGGAGAAATGAGCCCAGACCCGGTGATGTCCTTGCTGCTGCTACTTAACTAACCTTGTGGCTTAGAGCAGGTGTCTCTGGGCGTTTCCCCCCAGCACGGAGTGGCCAGACAAGGGTCTCTATCAACTCTCAATTCCACTCTCACGACTTAGAATTATGCACGCTTAGTGCCAAGCACTGCCTGCAACATTCCTGCCCCTTAGCTGCCCACTTCCTGCGAAGAAAAGGCAAAATCCTGTGCCTTCAGCGTCTGGGCCAAGTCTTTCTTTCCCAGCCTTCCTCTGGCCACTCTCTCGCCATCACTCCTAGCTTAAGCCAAACCAGTTATAATTGCACCAAGATGCCTACCTTCTTTCTGCCGCTCTCTTACCATTCAAGCTGTCCCTTCCACATAGGGTCTTGCTTTCACTTCATTCATTCATTCATTCATCTGTTCACTCACCTACATTTCCTTCCATGCATCCATCCAAACATGTCCTGGGTACCAGAGACACAGGAGACACAATGGTACATGCAACAGCCATGGGCCTGCCCTTGCAAAGCTTGGGTGCTCATGGCCTTCCCACCAGAAGAGCACCAGGTGGCTCTCCATCAAGGCATAGCTCAAATGCCACCTCTCCTCCGACACACTGGTGCTCTGAGCCCTCGGGGCAGAATTCATCTGTCTTCCGCTTCTATACAATCAGCCCTCCACAGCCACAGGTTCTGCATCCGCGGATTGGACCAGCCACAATGGAAAATATTTGCGGGGGGGGGGGGGGGGGGGAGATAACCCAATGGGGAAGGGGACCCCGGGGGTAGGGCCAAAAAAGGTGGATCTTTTCCGAAAAGGGATGGGATTTTTCCCCTTTGCATTTTTTCCTAAAAAGGAAAAGATAAAAAGGATTTCCTAACAATTATACCGGATTTCGGATTATAAAGAAATTAAGGGAGAATTTAAATATAAAGGAGGAAGTGTGG